GTTAAACTTTGGACCTTTATAGACCCACCACATAGGCATTATCATTGATTTTCTTGATTATTTTGAATGGTTAAGCACTTTTGACATGTAACTTCTTAACGGTCTCTTTCAAAAACCGTTCCAGATGAATCCCGACCATCACTGAATCACCAACTTCGAATATTTTCAATCTGCGTTTAAGATCATCGTGAAGCTTATAACTGGAATTACTCTGTTCAATTCGGCGCATAATTTCTTATAATTTATGCATATGCGATGCAAATGAAGATGCAGACTCATAAATTATATACTTCAGACACATGTGTTTGAGATCTAAAGGATCTCTAGACTTGTACCCATATACAACTTCAATATGACTCAAACCAGTGGAGCGGTTTACAGAATTGTTATAAGCAAATTCAGCAGTGAGGAGTTTGGAATCCCAATCTTTAATGTGCTCACCCACTAAGGATCTCAAGAAGTTACCTGAACTCCTATTGACCACTTCAATTTGGCCATCAGTCAGAGGATGAAACGCTATGAGGAATTGTAGTTTACATATCTATTTTCACATTCTCAATTTTTTTCATACATAGCTTAGCTTTCAATAATTTTTTTACTACTTGATATGTACTCAAAAAATCATCTTGATCGGGCATGAATCTCAATGCAAAATCAAGTTAGAAACTTCAAAAATTAATTCGGAGACCATCTCAACTCCGATTTCAGCAAACTTATAGTCGAACTGAAACGTCTCAGAAATACGAACCCAACGACACCAAATTAAACTCAATCCGAGCCCAAATGAGTACAAATCAAGTACTCGAAGTGCTGTTGGAAGGTTCGAACCACAATTTGGGTTACCAAATGGTTTTCAAACAACACATGCTTATAGTCGAATCGAGCGGCTCGATGAGACGAATCAAACGAGCCCAAGATCGCCGAATTCTGATGTCATTAAGGCCTTCAAATGTCTGACGAACGGTACATGATCAAGGGATTCAATATCGGCCGTCCATCCAACCACTCCACATTTACCCCTGATCTCTTGCCTATTTACAGGCCATGCCACTCCAGAAAATCTATAAATAGACCCCTCATTTCTCTTGAGGGGAGGACAAAAGCAAGGAGAGAAGAGGAGAAAAGAAGGAAGAGAAGGAAGAAGCTCCTCCTCGACCACCGCCGGAACCTCGCCGGACCACCGCAGAAGCCTCATCGAACCATCACCTGAGGCCCTCACCCTCGCCGGACCACCGCCGGAGCCTCGCCGGACCACCGCCGGAGGGCCCGACGTTCAAGCCCGACGTTCAGGCCCAACGTTCTGCTTCTCATTCCACACATAGACAATGCTTCCCATTCCACACATCATCCAACACCAAAAATATC